TACAAATATAAGCACAGAGAAAAACAAAAATCAAGTTTAGGAAAAACGATTTAAGAACATAACTGTTTTTCAAAAAAAGTTGTTATGAAATTTTCTTTTGCTTTAAAATACTTTCTTAAAGCAAAAAGACGAAAAGAAATAAGGGGTTAAGAATCCTCCACTATGTTATCTCTTTTTCAAAGGGTTAGAGAAAACCAACAGTACACGGCGAATAGATCAACACCTAGATCTAACCCTTTGTCCACTAGATTTTCAAAGGTTTCTAGTTAACCTCAACCCTTTCTGTTTTGCAGAGAACAAGAAACTCAAATCAAGACATTAGAACCCCACAAGGAGAAGGGTTGCTTGATAAACCTGTTTCACAATAGCTTTTCACCTAAGCTATTATACCAAAAGGTAGGGTTTTCAAATAAAAACCTGTCTATAACAGATTACAGAATCATATATAGACAAGAGAAATACAAATATAAGCACAAGAAAAAACAAAAAATCAATTTAGAAAAATGATTTAAAGACATTAACTGTTTTCAAAAAAAGTTGTTATGAAATTTCTTTTCTCTTAAAAATATTTCTTAAAGCAAAAGACGAAAAGGAAATAAGGGGGTTAGAGAGAAGCCTTTGAGTGATAAAACATTGAAGCAAATTTTAACTCTTTACCTCTTGTAAAATGGAATTACCCAGTCTTCATAAAAGGAAAGACGTTCTTTTATAAAAGGTATTGTAAATTCCGTTTTAGAAAGTTGTAATTCTTTAGCCTTTAAAAAGAATTTTTGACTTTCCAAAAACCAAAAGATACTGAGATCTTGTTGCCAAAAAATATTTAGAGTCAAAAATCTTTTCGTAAGCGAATAAAGAGATTTTGACTTTCTTCATAAAAACCAATTTTGCAAAAATAGAGATATAGAAATCTTTTTCAAATATTTGTTACCAAAATATTTAAGACAAAATCTTCTCCTTTTAGGTAAGAGAATTTAAAAATCATTTTTTGAGAGAGAAGAAAACCTTTTGTGCTTATAAAGGAAATTCTATCTATTCCTACAAAAAAATCCTTAAGATAAAAAAATCTACACTATTCTTCAAGTCTTCAAATTAATCTAGGACTTTGTATGAAACTTGCCTTCTTTATTAATTTCCATGTATAGAAATAATAAATCCTGCACAAAACAATATTAGCACAGAATATTAAAATTTATTTACATTAATTCATCAAAATCTCAAGATAGAATTGACCTTGAGGCCAAACATTGGTAATAGGGTAGCAGCTGTTAGGTATTGAGAGACATGGTGATTAATAGAAAATAAAATTAGCGATAAAACCGAAGGAGAAGAAAATTAGATTTATAGGTTAGAGCTTAATATGTAAAACGATAAGAGAGAGTAGTTTGAAATGATAATATTCATATATATATAATGTATACTGAAGTATCTATGATACATGAGTAAAGGTAGGAATAGAGATAACTATGATAACTATACGAAATAATTGAAATTACACGGCATAATGAATATTATCTTAACAGCCTCCTCAAGCTGATGTGGAGGCAACAAAGGCTAAGCTTGGAAAAATGCTTTGCAAATAAAAGCTCTGACCCTAGAGCTTCTAAGCAATTCTGCCGATTTGATCATCGGGGATGAGATAAAACTGAATTTGTAGCTCCTCGATTATCATCATCAATAGCATCCTCAATTCATATCAAAGTCATTCCTCTTCGTCTGCATCTTCTTCATTGATAATTTACCATCATCGCCATATTCACTACCACCACAACCAGCCAACACCTATATTACCCATCATTATCACCATTCTCTATCCCTATCCCCATCTCCATCTCCATCCCATCCTATTCATCAGCATTATCTAATTGCTTGGACTAGAAGGAGCACCTCAAAAGAATATCAATGTTAAACTTGAATACTAATGATAATATCTACAAACTAACTAATAATATCAAACCTTAAGACATCATCATTCATTTCACAACTCCATAGTCAAATCGCATATCACCATTTTACTAGTTGCATGTTGTCTAAACATTATTTTAGCTAAAAACTTCATTATCTTCCTTAGTTTAATTGCCTGCACAAATTTCATAACCAAACTCTCGAATCTCAATCTTCGAGAAATTTTAAACACTCTTAGATCTATCAATCATCATAGGCATATCCAAATTGACTATAAATATCCCTGCCATTCTAGTGACCACTACCAATATGATGGGAACTTCATTTCCTGCAAAACATATTTTTCAATTCGAATTAATTTTATAGTGGCCACTTATTGGAATATTTTATTTTTACTTTATTTATATTTAGGAATATTTTCAACCCCATACCAATTTAATACTCAACCTCCATAACATACATAATTTTATATTTAGATATTTTTCTAACTCAGTTTATAAATAAGTTGTGTAGAAGATTATGCAACCAAAAAATAATTAACTTTGGGACATCAAAATTACAGACTACAATATCTTAGTCTAAAATAATAAATTAAATGATAATTTCTATGTAAATAAATGTGTACCTTAAAAAATAAACTTCTCCTGCTTATGCAAATTTACAAAAAAAAGTATATACAAAGAAAAATTACTTCATATTATTATTCAGGTGGAAAAAGAAATCTCGTATCAAAATATTAGAGTCAAATATTTCATTGATAATATTAAGTACTATAAATTAACAAAAAAATACTATAAATTAACAAAAAAAAACTATTATAACTTACCAAAAGAGTATAAAATTCTTGAAATCTCGAACTTGTCACATTTTATATTTGAGCAGTAGAGTAGTTGTTAGAAAAATGACAATATTAAGTCTATTAATTTGTTTTTCTAAGATAGCAGATAAAAAAAAATTAACAAATCATGCATCACAGTGGAATAAGCATTATACAGACGTTGCGAGATCAGTGGCGAAGGCTGGACCCTATGGGTCAAGGAGGGGGACTAATGTATAATAGTTTTTTTTTTTTAGTATAAGAAATTTTTAAAATATAATTGAATTATGTATAAAAATCTATCATTTTCCATTAATACACAAAAGAAAAAAACAATTATATGATTTTTTAAAAAAAACAATTATATTATTTTTTTTAAAGAAATCAACATTTTCTCCCTCTACATAAATTTCATATTTTGAAACGCTCCAATAATTAGCTCATTGTCAATAACTATTAATATATCTCTTCGTAATATAAATGACTAAACAATCATTCAGCAAAGTATTTTATATTCAATCTACAAACCACTTCCTCACAATCTCATTGTAGAAAATGATGTTTCTACAATGGCAACAGGTAAACTAATGGACAACTTTATAAGTGAATACCACTAAATGGATAAAACAATGTTTCCTGGTTTCACTAACTCTTGTCTCTTGAAAACATCACTCAATTTTTTACATATTTAAAAAGGCAACTCCCTACTAATTAAGAGTTTCACAGATTATAAATATTGATTAATTTACGGAGTTCACTTTTTATTAGATAGTTGCTGTATTAAAAAAGTTTTCAAAGTCTAGGTGCATGCTGACCCTCTAAAAATATGTGGCTCCGCCACTGGTGGAGAGGCTTATATGATAAAACTTTCACTGGAGTTATGAAATAATCTTAGTTTCTACTAATAATGTAACAATTGTTAAGATAATTTACGCAATGAGATTCCTTCATGATTCAGTTCCTTGACTCATTTTTATTCCCTTGTTGTCATTTTTTATTCAATGAGCGATTCTAAAAATCTCTTTTAATTTTTTAAATGGTTACCCACTATTAATATGTCCTTTTATTGTGAGATTTTAATCTTAACTTTGATACCTTACTTGGCATATAATATATTCCTTTTAACATTGTGACATCTTTCACTCATAGTTAACATTCAACATGGAGAGAGAAGAGAAAAACTATTGTTCTGTAAAAGTTGCTGCACAACAGTTAAAACAAATTAAAAATTTATTGGATTTTGTTCCAGTCATAGCGTAACAAATGACATTGTTATAACTATGACCGGACAAATGCCTTTGACCTGTCAAACAGAACACTATTCTTATAAATATTTTTTACAGAATGCCCATTTTAGTACAGTAGTTGTTTTGCAAAAACCGTTTTTGTAAAGCCCCCAATTGCCTTCACTTCAGGTATTGGGGCCTTATAAGTATTTGATCGTGTGGGGGAAAGGATGCATACAAATTTGCCACGATGCCTATTCATGTCTCCTTGCTTAAATATTATGCTCATAAAACTATTACCTTCATCTTTTCAATTGCCTCTGCACCACCGATACAAAGCACCCCATTCGGTCTGATGCGAGGACCATGTGTTCGGAACATATGTGAGAAACCAGTGAGAGAGAGGACAATCAAGATGTTTGCCATCTACAGGCATGTGCTGAGCATTATAGCGAAACACTACATTCCCCAGCTAGAGAGCTACTTGAGATTTGATCCTTGTAGAAAAGGATAATTCTATGGGAAGCGTACTGATATGAAATGCAACTAGTTTTAAAATGTTGCATGTGTTTAGTTGAAAGAATTATGAGCATTTTTGATAAGTGCTGAGGAGTTAATGAATGTGTTTTGAGAAGAATGGTTGACTGTGAAAACAATTTGTTGTTTAGATTCTTTCTGAATTAGTATGAATTTTGATTACAAAAAAGTCATTTCAAGGTGTAATTGTAGAACTTTTCGGGAATTTCTGTGCTATCAATAAGAACTTTCTAATATTTCTCTCTTTTCTTCTTTCCTTCTTCTTCTTATTTCTCTTTTCAATTCAATTACTCTTATCATCTGCTTGGCTGTTCATTTAGTCATGGGTTGAAATAATCGTTTACTAAATTAGTAAGTTCATCTAAACAATATTAAAAATTAAGAGATCAAACTATTAACAGATTTTTTTTTTTTTTTTTTTGTGACCACAATAAAAGTTTAGGTACTAGGTTACTGTTGTGCAATGTTTTTTTTTTTTTTTTTTTTGTGACCACAATAAAATTTGGTACTAGGTTACTGTTAGTGCAATGTATCCCATGTGGGTTAACCACATCCCACAAAAAAAATTATAAAAATTAAGAAAAATATTCTCTCTGCCAAAGAAAAGCTGTGCTATTTTGCCACGCACAAATTGAGTGCTAAGTAATTTTCTTAGTTGCTCTTAGCTGTGGTTTCTGACTCATAAACTGGAGCTTGACCCGCCCTCTATTAGGCAGCTTAACTCCACTGCGAGGCTGAAACATCTTCCAACTACGCTTATTAGGATGAGCTTCTCCAATACCGCCCTTGGACCGCGTTGGTTTCTTTGAATGTCTAGCATGCTTCATCATCGCTTGTACTAGTCCACGAAATTGTCCAACTTGATTCTTACTGATTGCTGATGTTTTCATTTTTGCAACTGCTTGTTTCTCATAAACCTTCTGTTTCTCTTTGCGGTTAAAAATCTGGTGCACGTGCTTCCAAATGGACATGTTTCGGTCGTTGTTCTGATGATGGTGATGGTGGTGGTGGTGGTGGTGGTGATGATGAAAGATTAGTCCTAACTTGTTCTTCAACCTCCTTAGCCGTCCGATTGCTTTATCAGGACTTGATCTGTTGTACATTCTGTTAGTACGATCAGCCCTATGTGGAGGACTTCCACTTACTACATTTTTGTAACTTGCTGAGCTCCTACTCTCTATACTACTTGCAGTTGCGGGTCGCCTTTTTGACATGTCATTGCTCTTGGTGCTGCTAGATTTGGTTTCTAGCTGACTTGTCCAGCTGTTGGAAGAGCTACAGCTTGAAATTTCTGTGTGGTCTGATTCTTGCTGATATGTCGATCTTGCTGGCTGCCTCTCTGTCATCTGGTTAACATGGCAATAGTCATTATGCAAATGTGGAGAGTCATAATCTCCTAGCAGCGTCGGCTTCACAAGCAACTGAGCCTGTGTTTTGTTATGACTGTATCCTGTGGAAGATTCCTCTAACTGGGGTTGCATTGATGGTCTCAATTTCTCAAATTTGCCAACGCTTTTCTCTAACTGATGAGTCCTTAAATCTTTTTGGCTTATCTGAGTAGACAATCGCTTCTCAATCTTCAAATTGTGGCTATGAGTGTTTCCAGGAGCTGGAGGAATCCGTAACCCATGAACATAAGACTGAAATGTTGCTGTTTCACTTTGTGCCATGATTCTGTCGAACTTGTACTTGAAATTAGGAACCTGACTTGAACCTGTCTCCCAATGCTTTTTACTAGTCTCACCAGTATGATTAAAATCACCAGTAGTAATTGCTCCTTTTAATTGCACTATAGGACTATCAGTTTTGCCTGGATCCAACGAACTGGATGAAAGCTGCAAAGATTCAATCATTTTGATTGAGTTAGACACTTGTTTGGAGAAATCACTGGGTATTTCCACTGGATTCTTATCTATCTGAATGCCCTCATAACTCGAACAATAACCAACTGACTCTGGTATTAGAGCCTTGTCCTTCTCTTCATATTTGTATGTATTATTAGCTGAGTTTTGGCGCTTGATATTAGTTCGTTGACAAACACTACAGCGTTTCTTTCTGTCCTGAGGCTTAGGCGACGAAAAATGCTCTGAAACTGCCTGCGGCGGGAAAGGAAAAAGTAAATTTATGCAAAAAGTGAAATTTTGAAAAGTTTGCTCCAAAACGAACACCAATGAACCAAAACTCTTTAATTAGCCACTCATAAACATTTGAGTGAACTGAAGTAATTCTAAAAGCCTAAAGCATGACTAGATGGTGAAGATCGCATTATGAGACCCATTGTCAAAAGCATTCTTTAAAAATGTACATTCAATTTTTCTATCTCAAGTGTCTTCTCCATAGATTTTGACACTTTCTACCTTAACACTTAGATTTTGAGGTTGGACTTCGATTAGCCCATTACTATTTTGCTCTCTCACATGTTTATATGGAGGTTGACTGTCGAAAACATTTCTCTAAAGTTGCTCATTCGATTTTCCTAATAGCAGACCCTAATTAGTTATTTTTGTTTATTTTATGCTTTGTTTTATTTATTAATAAATCAAATGATTTTGAAGTATTTTAAATTTTTTTTCCAGACTAAACTTTGCTTATCAAAGCCGATATTAGAAACAAAGAATTCATATAACTTACCCTAATTAGTTTAGAACTAAAGCTTAGTTGTTGTTGATGATACTCGTTCAATTTATGCATCTCATACGACCCGTGCAAAGATATTCTTAATTAGGTTGAATTTAGGCTTGGGTTTCTAATATATCCCATACAAAATGGTCCATAATAGATCACAATCTTGGCAAGAATTTTGCAATGGTGGATCACAGAATGGACAGAAAAATGGATATATTATTGAGAAAAGGATAATTAATAACTGATTTGGTGAATGAAAGAATTACAAGAGTACCTTAAAACGAGCTAGTAATAAGTTGTCTGTAGCAGAGTCTAGGAGATTCTTCAATAAGAATTGCGCTCCCTTGTCCATCTGTGTTCACACATTTAAATAGAAATGATAAAAAAAGGATACTCTTCTAATAGTAAAAGATCAAGTTTTATATGATGAAGATAGAGAGCTTAGATTTACACAATAATCTTCTTCACTGGCTTGTAGGAGCATGTATAATTGTCTTAATTCATCAAGATTCTTTTCAAAATCTTTTTCTTGGACTTCCATCTTGGGCTGATCATTGGTTCATGTATTATTGATGGATGGCTCAAGTTGTTGCTAGAGAAAAGAAGCTAAAAGTAATATATAAACAAGACATTTGAAACTAAAAAAAGGAAAATAACTAAAACCTAGTTCACAAAATGGCTATTTTCAGGTTTGATTTAGAAGCACTGGTTTCAAGACAAAAGATGGACAGAAGAGGAATTCTACTTTCAGTAAAGGGTTATTATATTTCTCGAATAATTTTGTCAATTGAGGGATTAAAAGGGGTAGGGAGCCAAGCCTCTAATTTGTAGCAAGGGGACAAAGCTTTAATCTATAGAAAAACCAGTCAAATGGTCAAGGAAACGGCTCAAATATCTGCCGGAATTTGCTAGCGATACCTTTTTCTCTTACAAAGTTCATGTTATCAAGAAATTGTTTCTTCATTTCATGCTGGTGGTTGATTTCCCATATAAGCCTGCACTTCACAGTTCAATAGAACCTCTCATTCTCATACATCGCAAGACCAACAAACCAACATTGATGGCAAGAAAAATGGGCTGATAAAGGGAAATCACACCTGAGGGGGGCGAATTCGAAGCCAGGGAAGGACACCTGTGTACTGCGATCCGGTAGTCGAACCACGGGGAAGGAGGAGAGAGGATGGGTTTTGGGGAGAAGGTGGAGTTTCTTGTTGAGTAAGATTCGTGAAATGCTATGGCGGTTTTTGGATGAGAGGAGTGTGGGAAGAGAGATGTCACTTAGGATCTGGCCACTGGCAATATAGTTTTCTTTTGGCGCTTTGCCTGGCTTTTAAATTTGGAGAAAATGTTCAATTTACCCTTGTATTTGATTCATATTTACAAAATGCCCATCTTCTAACTTTTGGGCAGTAAATCTCCATAATTTATTTTAACTGGCTCAATTTGCACGGTATCTCAGCTGGAGAAGTGATGTGGAGTATACATAGTCAACATAACAAAGAGGAAATAAAATATTTTTCAAATAAATATTAATGGTTGGTTGGAAAGATAGGAAAAGAATACTTTTAAAGCATAAATCTCTAAAATCTCTATCTTGGAGAACGAAATCTTAATCTTAGTAAAGTTTGTGTGCTTGGCTTGATCATCTAAATTTTTTTCTTCTCTCTATTAATTGTAGTACATAATTACATCTCTTGATTCATAGTATCTCTCTATCCTCTCTATTTTTTCCAAATTGTTTCTTTTCTTTATCAATTGCAGTAGATCGTTATGTTAGGAGGAGAAATGCGTTGAAGCTAAGAGAGAATGATGATAAGAAGGAGAGAAGATGATAAAGGAAATCTAATTTTAGAAAAAAATGGTCTGTATCCAATTCATGTTGTTTCTCTATCAGTAGAAGACTAATAGAAATGAATTATTTTTCAAGTTTTTCTTTTTTCTTTTTGTTTTTCTTTTAAGGGTCGAATTGTCTTAATATTTCTTTCCCAGTTTTTACTTTTTCTTTTTTCTTTTTGTTTTTCTTTTAAGGGTCGAATTGTCTTAATATTTCTTTCCCAGTTTTTACATTGACTGTGTATAAATTCCATTCCTAATTTTCTTTTCTTGATTCTTTGTTTTTTTATAAATTAATTTCTCTATAATTTTAGTGGTCTAAAACCTTTTCGTCTCTTCTTCTCCTTTACAATATTTTTTTAAATTGAAAACATATTACAAATTTATATTAAACTTCTATTATTGGAAAAATAAAAGAAAAAATTATACAACTTTTTCTTATCTTTTTATCTTGGTTTTGGCCTTTTTGATTGAATTCATTTCTTGAATAATTTGCGCTTTATTAATTTTTTTCGTTACCATATATATTTTTGCTAATCATATAAAAGAAAAAATGGAAAGTTTTGTTGGAAAAAAATAAAAATTGATTTAATTCTTGAAATTTTTCTATTTCCATTCAATAATGGCATGATAATTATTTATTTGATATTCATCTAAATAATTATTATAACAATAATAAAAAAAAATGTATCGTAGTAAAAAAAACATGTATCGTAGAATATATTATATATAATATATATATATATAAATTAAAAGACAACCACAGGGACAGTATACCACGCGCATTGACCCTTAAAAGGAATGTGTTAATGAGCCAGTAAAAAAAGAACTTATGGAGATTTATGATCAAAATGTATCGTAGAATATATATATATATATATATATATATAAATAAAAGACAAGGGGACATATACCACGCGCATTGACCCTTAAAAGAATGTGTTAATTGAGCCAGTAAAAAGAACTTATGGAGATTTATGATCCAAAAGTTAAAAAGTGGACTCTTTATACATATGATCCAAGTTTAGGGTTAAAATTGAATCTTTTTCCTTTAAATTTCGAGTTTTGTGGTTCTTTCTAAGTTCCATTTTTGGCCCACATAATGAATGCCTACAGTGGGTCTTGGACTCAAAGCTATATTATTTTGGTCCGCCAAAATGTATGCACCATTTTTTATTTTTTTAAATTTATAAGTACACATATTTAGTGGGCATGGTTGGTTCATTGAACCGGTGGTTTCGATTTTGACTTCTAGTGATATATGTTTTTTTTTTTTTAAAATTTGGTTCAAGTGTTACATCTTTCTTTTAAAAAAATTAATGAATATAAAAAATACTGATAAATTTCGTTTTAAATAAATTTTAGAATGTTGATACTCATATAAGAATAAAATTAATTAATTAATTTTATGAAATAATCAAATAAATTCATTTTATTTTGTCTAAAAATATTATTAATTAAATAAAGTGTTAGAAAATTTTGAAAAATGCTTCAAACAATGTAATTTTGAACTAAATAAATAATTTAAAAGAAAAAAATTTTAAACTCTCATTTGTATCAAACAATATAATTGTACATTAAATATTCACATTTTTTACCATTTTACTTTTTTATATTTTTAACTTTTAAAGTGTACTTTCAAAAAAAAAATCTTTAAGAAAAGTGTATCATGTAGTAAAATATTATTTAGACTTTTAGAGATATATAAAATATGCTAAGTGATTATAATTTTGAAAATAAAAACCGAAAGTTTTCGGTTCAAATCGGACCGAAAATCCTGGTCCGGACTGATTCAGGTTTAAATTTTAACATTCACATAAACTTTAATCAGCCTTCGAACTGCCGGTTCCAGTTCAAAACTTTGAATTGACAATTCTAGTCCAATTTCAATTCATCTACAGTACGATTCGATTTCTGTTCAAAATGAATTGATGGCCATGTCTAATATTTAGGGCTAGGTGTCACAAAATTAACTAAATCAAATCAAATTAATTGATCTTGATTTGGTTCAATTTTTTACAAAATGTTGTTTGGTTTCAGTTTTAATAGAAAAATTGAGAGTTCTATTTGGTATATTTTTATGTATACAACTGAAAAAACCTAAAAATATGAAAATTAAAAATTGAATGGATTTTTTTTAATTTGATTGCATAAAAAGTTCAGTTCTTTCTATATATAATTTCAATTACTTCATTCATATTAATTGATTTTTATATATATAAAAAGAAGGTGAAATTCCTTCAAACAGTACAGAATAAAGATTTTTTGCCCTCTACAAAATACGATCATGAGGTTCGTACTTGTATTTTTATTTTTATAGGGATTACAGTAACTTATTACCTCAACTAATACCTTATTAATTCTATTAATTTATTTTGATAATAAGCCGAACAGACATCTCGATGCATTTCCAAACATTTATTCAAATCCAATTAACAAGTGACTTATTTATATTTCAAATCTCACGCTGCTATGAAATTTCTCTCCGAATACATAAAAGAAAGAGAAAATTATTATATTATCCTTATATTTGCTAAAAATAACTATTTTCTCCTCATCTTTTAGAAATGCATTACTTTATCCTTAAGTTTTATATCATTTCGTTCAATATTGTGGATTTTAGATGTTAAATGCATGAAAAATGACAGGAATAACCTTGTGTATTTTCACTCTCTCATCCTCTTCTTTAATCACGCGACCCAAACTCAAAAATGCAAATTGTATTGTGAATGATGATTTTACAGCAAATAAAAATTATAAATTCTATCTTGACTTAATAAAAAAATATAATATCTATACTAAATATAATTATTATATATACTAAAGGGCATGAATAAATCATTGTACTTGTAACAGTGATTTTCCCATTCAGCCCTTTATGTTTTTTTTAATTACAATATTGCTTTTTCATTTTAGTGCTTTAATATTCCTATAATTACAGTGATTTTATTTTGCTATCAATTGACAATTCTAAGTTTATAGCTTTCTTTTTAATTACAGTATTTTCCATATAATAGCGTTTTCTCACTTTTACCCTTCGATATTTTCTTAATTACTTTTATACTCTTTTATTTTTTTTTAATAGTGTAAAAAGATAATAAAAGCCATTTTGATTGACATGCCACAATAATATTTTGTCACTTTTGCCCTTTGATGTCTCTATGATTACATTTATACTTTTTTTTTGGTTAATTGGATAAAAAGATAATAAAATCTATTTTTATTCACATGGTTCTTGAAATAAAACCTACAAGAGTGATTTTTCACTTTAATCCTTTGATATTCTTTTATTACAGTGACGTCATTTTTCTACCACTTTTCAATTCCACCTTTATGGCTTCCATTTTTATAATATTATCCTTTGACTATTCAATAATATATTTATATAAAGTAAAAATATATATGAGAAATTTGTGAAAGGTAATTTATAAATATTTAAAAATTACTTAATTGGTAGAGTTAGAGAAATTTAAAAATACATAAAAAAATTTATAGTAAAAAAGTAATAAAATAAAATTACTAAAATATGAATTTTATATTTATCATAAAAACAAATTTGTATTATTAAAAATAGAAACACAAAGTAGAATAAAAATAAAATAGATAAAATAATAAATAATCATCTATTTTTCTTGATTAATCAAAGTGTTTAAAACATAATTTATAGGGAAAATCATAATACGATTTCTGCGTTTTGTGAAATACTATGTTTCTGTCTTGAGACAGAAGCTACATAAATCTCATTGTTCAAATAGATTCTCAAGCAGCTGTTGACCTTCTTAGCAACAGGACGAGAGGGACGAGAGATTCCTTTCGATTCCAGAATTTACTTTTAGCGTGTCGGCCTTTCTTCAATGGCAGTGGCAAGTGCAGCTGGTCAAAATCTATCGTGAGGCAAACTCGGCGGTTGATATTCTTGCTGGCAGTGTGATGAGTGGGACGTTTGGAATGACTTATTGGGATGAGCCTCCTCCTTGGCTTCGGCAACTTTTGGATGGTGATTTAGTTGGAGTAGTATGCCCAAGATTTATTCATTAAGGGTCTAATATCTATCTTTGTAATAAAAAAAAATTATATCGAATCCAATCATTAAAAAAATAAAGTAAAAGTTTCAAAAATTCCTAAAAAAGTATTATTTCCTTTTTTTTAAAAAAATGAAGAAAATTGAAAATTTTGAAAAACTTAATTATGTATATATACATATTTCAAAAAATATTAAATGTCCAATCAAATCATAGAAACAAAAAAATATTATGATAAAAGAATACTTTTTTTCTTTTTCCTTATCTCTAAAAATAAAATCTTTTAAATTACAATTAAAATAATAATCTAAGTATTTCAAAATAAATTTGAAAAAGAAAAATGAGAAATATTCAAATGCTTCATTATCATATATACAAACCCAACTATGCATGG